GTGTAATTTTATTTTATTCATTTATTTATTTATTTATTTATTTTATTTTTATTTGCACATACATAAAATATCATAAAATCCAGACTGTTAAGAAAAGATATGTCTCGAGACATCAAGAAGCCACATGCTCATACAATAACAATAAATAAATAAATAAAAAAGTAAACTAACGTAATTCAGAAAAATATATCGAAAGATAACTGATAACAAGAAACACTGAGGAGACAATAATTAGTGATCAATAATTCAATAAAAACAAGAAATGCATGAAACACAATGTAATGTGGTGCTTTTAAATGTTCTGAGGATGACGTGTACTTTATTACAGAGAGCTTTGTCAATCTAATAAAGTTTTTTGCAGCAAATTAAGTTCTTATATTTATTTTCTGCCTCTTCAGTTGTGTGTTCTATGAAACAGACAGAGCAGAACACACTCAGCATCATTTGGTTACCGGGCGCTGGCTCCGCTCTCACCCTCATTTCCTTATCTTCCAGATATGGCAGCTGACGACAAGGTTGCCATCCTGACAGATGACGAGGAGGAGCAGAAGAGGAAGTATGTGTTGGCTGAGCCCTTCAACACACTGTCCATGGAGCAGCCGACGGGTGTTTCCACGCCACCGCCGGCTGCTTCAGACACGCCGCCCGAGCAGCCGGCGGCGTCACCTCCTGACTCAATAGACTGCTGCGAGAGGATGTGCCTCCGCATCAACAGCCACCTCCTTGTCTCCAAGGTGTTCTACTTCTTCTTCTACGCCGCTTACGGCTCGCTGCACCCTCTGCTGGCCGTGTATTACAAGCAGCTCGGCATGTCGGCCAGCCGCAGCGGGCTGCTCGTCGGCATCCGCTACTTCATCGAGTTCTGCAGCGCCCCCTTCTGGGGGGTGGTGGCGGACCGCTTCAAGAAAGGGAAGATCGTGCTGCTGTTTTCTGTTCTGTGCTGGCTGATGTTCAACTGCGGCATCGGCTTCGTCAAACCAGCGGAGATGAAGTGTGAGGAGAAAGGTGCCGCTCCTCCTACGACGCCGGCGCCGGTGATGACCACACACATGTACGATAATAACTTCACGCAGGCGAGCAACTCCACCAACCACACCAGAAGTCGCCGCAGCCTTCTGGATCTCCTCGTGCTTCCTGAGATCCTGGACTCTTATTTCAGCGTGCACCACAGGTACGAGCGGAGCGTAGACGCCAACGCCACTCCTGCTCCTTTTGAGCTGGTTAACACCACCCAACAGACGCTAATCACCGCAGTCCCCATACGAAACACCACCCTCCACATGCCAAACACAACCGTCTCTGCACCAAACACCACCATCACCACCACAACCTCGCCTGCACCGACCAAGAAGAAGGAGTACCAGATCACTTACAACAGGGACCAGGTGGAGAGCATCTTCCTGCTCATCCTGCTCGTCATCATCGTGGGCGAATTCTTCAGCGCCCCGGCCGTCACCATCGTGGACACCGTCACCCTGCAGTATCTCGGTAAGGCCCGCGACCGTTACGGCCTGCAGAGGATGTGGGGCTCGCTGGGCTGGGGTCTGGCCATGCTGCTGGTGGGCATCTGGATCGACCACACGCACGTCACCGTGGTGATCGACGGCGTGGGCTGCATCGTGCCCGACTTCCGCCTCCACAACTACCAGATCGCCTTCATCGTCTTCGGCGTGCTGATGGGCCTGGCGTTCGTCGTCGCCACTCAGTTTTACTTCGAAAAAGGCGGCTACTACCGGCAGGAGGTTCCAGAGGGGGTGGTGGAGGACCCGTGCACGCCGGGAGCGTTACCCGAGTCCAGCCCGTCGGACCAGAGTTCCGTCGGCTCTGACCCTGCTCAGGAGTTCAGCTACAGCGACCTCCTGAGGCTCCTCTGCAGCGTGCGCTACAGCTCCGTCCTCTTCGTCGCCTGGTTCATGGGCTTCGGCTACGGCTTCGTCTTCAGCTTCCTGTACTGGCACTTGGAGGACCTGAAGGGGACCACCACGCTGTTTGGCGTCTGCTCCGTCCTGAGCCACATCTCGGAGCTCGGCGCCTACTTCACCAGCCACAAGTTCATCGAGCTGGTCGGACACATCAGGTGAGACAGATGCTGACGACCATTATTGTTGATTCACTGATCATTTTTTATGACTTCCTCATCTTTGACGACTTCCAGTAACGCCTGATACTGAATCAAAGTGCACTTTGGACGGTAGATAAGGACGTCTTTTCAGTCTAATCTGTCGTCCACTCTGCAGACAAAGCCGCCATTGATGCTCAGGGGTTTCTGCCGGAGTGAATTCAGGGTCGCACCTCGCAGGCGGCGGGGACATTTGAGAGCGTGGTGTTAGATTTCAGCTGCAGCTCTGTAACCTGCATCAGAAGACACACAATGTGTCCGCTGTTGAAAGGACTCCTGAGTCAACAGGAGGTAGAGTTAAAGGGAGGGGAGTGTTTTTAAAGGGATTTAGACAGAGCTAGGCTAACAGTTTCCCTCTGTTTCCAGTCTTTGTGCTAAGCTAAGCTAAGCTAACCGGCATGACAGTTTGTGTTACAGCTGTCTTCATCTTCAGCAGGTCGTTTTCACACTGTGTGTTTTCTTCCTGTCGTCACAAGACGTTACGCTCTGCGACAAACACACTTCCTACTTTCATGGAAACTGTAGCAGAGCAGACACAAGCTGCAGGTCGTGGTGGCCGTGCGTCTGTTTAAAGCAGGCAGGTGTTAATAAGTCACCACAGGCTGCAGGTGCCCCGTGTCGACCCTGATCTAACATGAGATTTTTTTATTCTTCATTGAGAGATCCTCTGCTGCCACTTAACCGCGCAGCATCTGTCCTACCTGTTTGTGTGCTCAGCAAACCGTCACTGGGTGAACAAACACTGCAGTAATCCTGTCTGGCCATGAACACGTGAATGCTTTGAGGGTGTGTCGTGTTTGAAGCGTTTGTTTGTGTTCGTGAGAGCAAAGACGTTCCCCAAACAACAGCTCAGCTCAGGGATGTCTGTAAATGTCATGAAGCCATGAGAGCACACTCACCTGGATTTTAGGAAATCAGAAAGTTAAAGATGTTTTCAAAAGCTCGGTTACCTTAGACAACATTTAGGAATTATGAGGCAAAAACACCATCACTGTCAAATGAATGAGTGACTCGATAAATAAGAGAATAAGCCATTAAATGCACCATTAATAATATTAAAGAAAATAAATGTAGGCATTCATTGATACAATTTGAAATAACATTGCTATTTCTGTTCTAATTTGCTTCTTTATTATTTACCTTTGTAGTAATTCCTTATTTATTTGATTTCCTGTTTTAATTTTTCCCTTTTTGTTAATTTATTTTCATCAATTCTGAAATGTATTTATTTTGCTATCATGTTTAATTTATTTTAAATACATTTTTAAACACATTTGTTAATTTTTATTTTTTTGATTTTAATTTTTAAATGTATTCATTAGTTTTGAATTTATTTTAAACTTTAATTTATATATTTATTAAT